GCATCAGGCAACTGATTTGCAACATTTTGTAAATGGATTATCTTTTGCACCTCTTGCTCACATATATTTGATTTTGAGTCAAGATGTGATAATCCTGTTGCATTCCATGTTATTTCTTTCGTACTTGGGTCCGATTTATTCGTTTCTCCCCCTAAGGTTTGGAATACTGTCTCATTGAAATGACAGTCAGCGAACCGTGCGGTGAATAAGTCACCAGTCATCGGTTCAAGATATTTGATTATTGAGGGAGATTCAAATCCAACATAAATTCCCAACCTTCTTTGAGGACCCATTTTTGTACGATAAGGTGGAGCAATCGGAACATAAACAGCACAACCAAATATTTTAATGTGTGCTAAGTTTGGCTCTTGTCCAGTAACTAATTGCATTGGAGAATATTCATAATATGCAGTCGGTCTAAGCCGAATTAAATTTGCTGCATGTAAAATAGCATGTCCCCAAGCTGATGAAGGTAAATAACACTTCATTAATAATGGTCTAGCGATTAATTGTAATCGTTTAATCAAAGATTCAGCAAGACCATTTTGTGTATGGACATGAGCAACAGGGTGCTCCACATCAATCCCAATTGACATACAATAGTCGTTAGATGATTGGGATGTAAATTCTCCTGCATTGTCAAGTCGGATTCTCTTTATAGAATGATCCGGAAAATGAGCTCTTAATCGTATGATTTGAGCAAGGAGTTTAGTAAATGCTAAATTTCTAGTCAATAAAAGACTAACATGTGACCAACGTGTTGAAGCATCAATCAACACCATAAAATATCGAAATGGTCCACATGGTGGGGCTATCGGCCCACAAATATCTCCTTGAATCCTTTCTAAAAATGCAGGTGATTCAGTTGCAATTTTGTTCATTGAAGGCCTGATGATCATTTTGCCAAGAGAACAGGCCTTACAAGGAAAATCACTTGATACTGGAACCCTGATATTCTTTAATGGGTGTCCAAGTGAAGTCTTAATGATTTTATGCATCATTACTTGGCCTGGGTGACCTAAACGGTCATGCCACAACATGAATGTTTTCTGATCATCTAACTTTGTGTCAGAAACCAAATTTATTTCGAATGGACTAATATATGTGAAATATAGTCCTGAGGAATATGCTGGCATGTTTTCACAAATATATTTAGTGCCAGATTTAGTTGTTGTAAGACAAAGATATTCTTTTTGATTTTCATTCATGGTTTCTATGTGATAACCATTTTGACGCATATCTTTAAAGCTTAATAAATTTCTCCGCGATTTGCTGAAGTATAGAGCGTCATTTATAATAATTTTTGTCCCGTTAGGGAGCATCACATATGCTTTCTCAGAGCCTTCAATGAGCTTCGCAACACCTGATATTGTATTGACTTTAGCTTCAACTAAAGTCATTTGAGAAAAATATATTTTATTTCTCAAAATGGTGTGCGTTGTGGCGCTGTCTATCAGACATAGCTCTTTATCATTTGAATGATCCATATCTTCAATATATATAAATAAACATTAGCTTGATCACAAATTATGCATTTTATTTAACATAAGAGTACATACATTATACATACTTAATTAAAAACAAAATAAAAAGGGGAAGAAAGAAAAAGTACATAAAACTAGTATTGTAGTATTGTACAACATGAGGAGTCTACTATTTTATTTAGTAACATTTTGGTTTAAGGCAAAAGCATCATCCATAATGGCATCATCCGCGAAAAAATCAGACACGTCAAATTTTGGCAGAGATGGAGTTGTGTCATTGACATAATTAGCTTCCATATTATTGCCTTTGTTCAAATTCATGGAAGATTGAAATAACTCCACCAGATGTTTCGCAGTACGACATTTGTTAGCCCAATGCCCCGTCATACCACATTTATAACAAGTCGTCTTTACCGAGGTTTTTGTAGGGCGATTTATTTGATGGGCCTTTTGTTTGCCCTTGCCCTTGTAATTTGGTCTTTCGACCTGTTTATATCCTCTGTGAGACTTGTTATTATGACCACTATAATGCCCACGTTTAAAATGCCTTCGAGGGCCACTATGTGTTGCATTTGATTCAGTGGCTAAATTATGGCCAGATGGACCATAAATCGAAGGACTAGAACCGGTGGGTCTCAAATTGTGGTTTTTCATCAAAAGGTCATTATTTTGCTCAGCTACTAATAATACTGATATTAAGTCGGAGTATTTTTTAAAACCCTTTTCTCTGTATTGTTGTTGTAGTAACATATTAGAGATATGCATAGTAGAAAAGGTTTTCTCCAACATATCAGCATCAGTGACTTTTTGTCCACATAACTTTAATTTGGATGTTATTTGGAACATAGCAGAATTATAGTCACTGATAGATTTAAAGTCCTGGAATCTTAAATTGATCCAGTCATACTGAGCTTTTGGCAAAAGTACCTTTTGTTGGTGGCCATATCTCTCCTGTAAATTGTCCCATAATTCTTTTGGGTCATCAACCAAAAGATATTCAGATTTGAGACTTTCATGGAGATGGTGACGGAGGAAAATTATAGCTTTCGCTTTGTCCTGGGAGGATGATTGATTATTAGCCTCAATAGTGTCTTCCAGACCATTAGCCTTCAAATGTGCTAAAGCATCCACTTTCCATTCCAGGTATTTTTGTCCGGACAGATCAAGGACATCAAATTCTCGTTTGCTAATATTTGCCATGATATACTACAAAATTATTAATGTAAATTAATTATTAAACATATTAATTACAAACTAACCTTTAAAAAAATTATTTGATTATATAAATATATAGAGCATAGAGTAACGACTAGCTTAGAAGTATTGTTAAATAATTATTTATACTACTCGATTAAATATCTTATTTATAGATAGTGTATTAAAAGAATATTTGAATTTATCTCATTAAGAAACAAACGTAATTAACAAGTCTACCATTTTTTATTTATTTTTGTTGTGGTAAGTTGTAACGGTGACTTACACCTGTTCAATTATAAGGGTATGTGAACACTGAACATAGAAAGATATCTAGCCTAGTACGTAGTGCCAATTGTTATTATTATTTTATTACAATAAAAATTAGGTTTGTTGTTTTGCATGCCATTAAATAACAAAAAGACAAATAAAGCTGCATCATGCATCTGAGTTGTTTTTCCCATGCATCAACCCGTGACTTGGGTCTGATGTACTAAAGTATTTCTTGTTCTTCGGTTCTTATCAGTACTCTTATCTCCTCTTACCAACCATTCTCTACTTTTATTACTTCCGTACCGTTCTTTCTATACTTCCGTCAAGTAATTAATAGCAGTACGTATATGAATTGAAGCTAAATTGAAGAAAATATGTATTCTTATTCCATCCATTCTTTTCGCTCTATGGTACGAAGTGTTAATGAAATTGAGATTCAGGTATGCTATGTTACTTTTTACACTCGTATTATAATCAGTGTTTTCATATTCTAAGTTTTATTTTGAAAACTGTCTAATATACTGATTATATTCTAAAAAGTATTTGGTGATATGAAAACATAAAAAAAGGATAATTAATACTGATATTCATACCTGCAGGAAGATAATTTCTTGGAGAGTTTGAGCCGATTCGTGCTGATAACGTGTTGTGAAATGAAGAAGATGAAGACTAAATTTGAGAGATAGATATATTAATAAAAGCTCTAAATATCTTCTTCTTAATATCTGAGAATTTCTGAATTTCTGAATGAATTTACAATGCCTCATCAAGCTCCTATTTATACTGTTTGAACTTGATGATTAGTCACTTAAGGGATGAATCTACAGATTTGGTGGCAATAACAATTTGAGCCATCTGTTCTAACTAGGTTACAAGGATTAAACATAATTTCTGGATTGATGACAAGGATGAACAATTCACACTTGTCATTTCCAGGATTTTACAACAAAAACAAACTTCTGCGTCAGTGCGTGAGAATACGTTTATTTTGATTGTATTAAGTCCAAGTTTGTACCTCGCAGCCTCGCTGCACCTTCATCTTCATTTCATATTACTCCTTCCGTCCCGTTGAAATGTTCCCGGTTTGACCTACACACATACTTCGACACTGTTTTGACACTATTTGACACTGTTTTGACGTTGTTTGGTACTGTTTCGACACTGTTTGACACTGTTTTGCACTGATTTGCACTGTTTGACCCTGTTTTGATGTAGGATAACATTCATTTAGGGAAATGAGAACTTTCCAACGGGACATGCAAAAAATGAAAGCGGGAACATTCCAACGGGACGGAGGGAGTATTATATTTTGATTTCATTCATGTCATCTTATTGATATTGTCACACGGTTACTCTCATTACCAGCATCTCACCTGTACAATGCATGGATGAATATTGTGTTTAAATATTAGTTTTCAAATTGCCGTAATATCATAAAATCATCATACAAATGAGGTAGTAATTACAAAGTACACATAATTAATTGCAACTAAGCAGAATTTCAATGTATCACGTGATGTATATGTTTTAATATGGAGAAATGCCACTTCACGTGATGTGCCAGTGTGCCACGTCCAAGTTTTTATACTTGCTACACAATCATCTTCATATCATTATAGTTGGATTTCATTACAAATCATCTTATTGTTATTGTCATCTTGCTATTTCCAATATAAAAACTTTTCAATAAATCCTAAAAATGTCACTTCAACATCTTATTATAGCCATTTTGTGGGAGTGATAAATTATTCACCATTGTCATGGTATTATTCTCAATAGTGCCAAGATTGGCAACTTCAAAACCTTCTTAATTGTGTCAAAGTAGAAGCCCCATTCTTTTTTTCCTTTTTACCATAATCCAACTACCCAATTCACAACAAATCAAGTATGTCATGAAAGGACTAAGCATTGGACTTCTCATATATATATTAGTATATTACGTTCACATGTATACTGATTCCTTTGTTTCCATTAACTTGCTCGTCAAGATGTATTAATATATCATATATGTATGTCTAAATGAAGATATGATAATGCCGCATATTTTACGGGGCACGCCATTTTTCATCTTGATGCAAGATCAATGGGGCAAACCATACTTCGAAGAAGACCTAAAATAACAACTTGTGCTGTTGTACCATTTGACAATATAGAAAAGTTTTAACCAATGTGAACTAAGAGGATCAATAGAACGCCAATATAATCTCATATCACGACTGCATGTCACCAAGTAGTCTGGATCAATATAATCAAATAAAAAATTGAAAAATACACTAAAATTAGAAGCTCAAATCGATATACTGAGAGGCTGAAGTTAGACGAAGAATCAGCAACACGACGGATTTTCCATTGATGACAAAAAGCTGCATGTCGAATAAATGGAAGCAGCAGCAGCCCGAACTGCTAAATCCCTCTCTGCATCTTTCTCCAATCTGTACATATATGGCACAACTTCAGCATAGCTTCTTACATTATATGATCCATATTTAACCACTCCCTCCAGCCCAAAACAATTGTGGTTTTAACAAATATACACATATAGAGAGAGTATTAGGAAACCTTACAAAATGACCCTTCTACCCATACTGCAATGCAACATTAAATATTTAAATGTATTCTTTATTTTCGAAATACACACATTTAATGCAAGAAAAGTTCATATGGGAAAAACTCGAAATTAGTAAAAAAATATGCACTCGAAATTAGTGCACACACATTTAATGTATTCTCTATCTTTCTTATGTTCTTGTGTTATTTTGAGGCCGTTTGGTAACACTGTTTTTCGACTTATCAGGCTTATCAGCCAACTTTTTCACAAAACACGTAACTTTTGTTTTCACGCGCTAAATTGTGTAATAATAAGAAAAAGTAAAGTTAGAGTTACTTTTCTGGATGTATTGACTGGAGTTACTGTAGATGTCCATTTTAGCTATTTTTACATACTACGTATAATATTTTCTTTATTTTATTAATAAAATATATTTTTAAAATATTTTTTCTTATATCAGCAGAATCAGCCAATGCAGCCACTTTGGCCAGAACTTCATATATTTCAGCAGAATCAGCCGAACCAGTCGATTTTTGTGTTACCAAACGGACTCTTTATCTTTTATCTTTCTTATGTTCTTTTATCTTATATTTATCTTTACCTTTATCTTATCCTTTTTATCTTACCATATCTTTTTATTTTTATTTTTTTCTTTTCCATTTGGCTCTAGTGTCGTGGATTGATTGATGTTAGCAGTTAGCCAACTCCAACATCTTTTGGGAATAAGGCTTGGATGTTGTTGTTTACGATAGACGGAACCCGGGCAATCAAAACTACACAAAAGTCAGTAAGTCTCACTTGCAAGGTATGTGGTACGATGAGATGTATGCGGACTTTACTTTTATCTCTAGAAACTAATTGAAATGAAGGCATGTCTATGTTTCTTTCAGGATGAATAGTACATAAATAATAAATACGATAGTATATACCTGCGGTCATTTTGTAATGCAGAAACTTGAGGTGGGCCGCATGGTATGCTATATTTGCTAAGGCCATTTTCGCATTGTTGCTGCATTTCATGTACTTCCTTCTGCCAACCTTCCTGAATTTAAGATGGATAACATTCAAAAAATTCAAAATCTTGCTGGCATATAACATATACATATCATGCATATAGCAGTAACTTGTATCCTAACTGTAGTTTTAGGTCCAAGCTCTTATTTTGCATTTAGGTGTGTAGGTGTAATGAACGTTCATCATCATCATCATTACCCTAGTGTCGCAAACGCTCCCACTTACGGTGGGGTAAGGGGGGATCGGATGTACGCATTCTTACCCCTGTATTAACGCACATAGAGACCGTTTCCGGATGACCCATAGTGAAATTCACGTCGAAAATTGCATGAATTGACTACTGCTTCATAACAAAGAAGCGCATACAATTTAGTGAGCCATTTTGCTTTATTTCATCGTATCAGTAAGATGTAATGAACGTTAATGTATACAAATACGCTCTCTGTGGACTTCTTGTAAACAGAAATGGACCAAATTATACAAACCAAGGAAAGTTGAAAAATATTGTCATATTCCAGACTTCCAGTTTTTCCATCTTTTAATACGCCTTATAAACTAATACATGTAAAATACAAACATGAAGAGATTGTTAATTGGGGACAAACAATGAAAAACAACAATAAACACCAAGCAATATTTAAATAAATACGACTTTAAAAGATCCATTTGACTCCTAAAGGTGCCTAATAAGTAAGCACCAGAAGTCTGCAGTTATTCTATTAGTAGTTTATATGTTTATATTCATTTTTAAACTAAAATGTGTTTTGAACTTCACATTTTTACAGGAATAAGGAACATCTAATCACATTCCATTTCCTATGGTCCACCAAACAACACTTTCGTTCATTCCATTACATTATACCCAACAGCACCTTAATCATAATAACGGTAATATGTGCCTTAACTACAGCAACTACAAATTTAGGTGTAGTTTGGTAAAACGTAATCAAATGTAAACAGCATGTGTAATACTGATTTACATTACATCCTGTTATCGTTTACCAGGCAACATTTTAATGCCTCCATGTAAACTCACCAGATGTCTCTCTTCTTCGGCTAAAGCTCTATCCATCTGGCCAAACAGAGAACTCCATCTAGCATGATGTGCACTGAGAGTATCTTTGTCACATTGGCCAACATTTGAAGTTGGTAAATTGAATGGCTCAATTTCTTGATTAGAATAAAATTCTCTTGAGATGAGGCAAGGAAATTCTGTCTGAATAACAGCCCGTACCCTTTTCCTACTACGTTTCAATGCTGAAAAAAACAGCATGATGTTTTTCAGTAAGTTCCATTCCGATGAAGTGACTGTACGGCACCCAGAATATACAAGGAAAAGAAAATTTTAAAAATTAATTCAAATATTTACATTTATTAATATAAATATGTTTGGAGTTTTAATCATGTTTCATTTTCCTTCAAACGTTCCAAGTAAAATCTAACATTTAAAAAAAATAGAATTTTTTTCTTTTGCCTGCCTTTATCTGCATCCCAAAGACCCAACCATAGCCTTAATGTATTTTCCATACCTGCAAGACGTCCTTTAATATCTTGATAAAGCAAATCCAACCATTGAGCAGCTACATTGGCAGCTGATTAAAAAATTCACCTCATTAGTTCCATTGGTTTACAAGGCCGATGTTGGAGCCTACCACATCAAGATATCTCTGTTCTAATAATTCCCACTTAGTCCTTACCTAGGGTATAGGTTTCCATTGGCTGCCCGTAAATTTTCCCAAACCATACCAAACCAAACCGAATTAAACCACCAAAACTGAATCACCCTGAATCATATGTGATTCAATTTTAGTTTTGTAATGTTTCCAGAACTGTGTTACTCCAAAAAAATTGTGAAACTGATTAAAGCCAATGGGAGCAAAAAAACAAGTAACCCCAAAAAATATTGAAGCCCCAAACTGAATAAACCTAAAATTGGTTTTACTTCAGCAGTTATTTCCTGAAACCATTTAATACAAACCAGACTGTAAAAAGATATCCACCCTTAGTTTTTGGATGTTATTAGCAGAAACCAGCTAGATATCACAAGAAGAAATTAACTAACCCTTGACAGATAGTGATGTAACACTGCTAAGGTTTGCAGGCTCCTCATTTGACAACGTACTATTGTCATACGAGGCAACGGTTGTGGCTGATGACAAATTCAATCCAAGTACATTGTCCTTGGAATCCATGTACTCATCCAGGTGCAAATCTGTCATTTCAGATACCCTTCCCTCAGGTATGGATAAATCCCCTCCTACTCCCATGAAATTCGAATTCAAAGCAGGTTGACATTCTGCCATCTTTCTTTCCTCACTCTTCGGCTGAATTGCATTTCTACGCCCACCATTATGATTCTCATATTTCTCAGACCTCACAAGGGCTTCGATAATGGAATGGACCTGTTTACTGTTTCGTACATGGTTAATGATTCCCGGGTTCAACCCGTTTAACAACCCGGTTGGGGCAGCAATCTTTGCAAACCTATCCACCCGTTCTTTCTTTGCAAGCTCCATCTTTTTCTTCATTCCTTCATTTTTACCCCTCCTACTGTTAGCCTTTGGGATTCCACCATGAGAGTTTGAGAGAAACCCGTTTTGTTTCATTTCATTCCACACTTTCAGTGAATCTTTCTCATCCAATGGTCCCACAGAACTTGTGCTGCAGACATCTTCTGCATTTAGATCTATTCCCAAGAGATCAGACTTGTGGTTCGTCTCTTGTATCGTATGTGCAGCAGCATAACTACTGTTAACGGTGATGCTTGATGATGCTCCAAGAGTAGCATTGAGATCAAGGGGTCCATATCGTTCTGTTTTTTTCACAAAATGGGAAGTGGGGAATTAGACATTTCATTATTTCACTTGCAAGTCATGAGTAATTCAATGTAACACTGCAAATATGTGTAGTTTCTTTAGGATATACCCTAGCAGTAATATAAGTTCTGTAACTTTCTCGGCAATAAACCTATGAACATGTCTACTCATAGAAATGATACAAAAACAAAATACAAAACAAGTCTTACTTCACTATATATACTGCAAAATACATGATAATAATGTGCTGTACATTGTTCAGCATACAATTTAGTGAATAAAATAAGACAATTTGCTGTAAAAAATTAAAAACAAAATGGTACAATAAACAATTAATCAAAGATTAAAATCTAAAAGATACTAACACATACCTAATATAAAAACCACCTGAGCATTGCAAATAAAATGTAGTTTATGAAGAATGCAGAAAGATTATAATAAGTTCTATAACCTCTACTGGAATGAACCATTGACCATGTCCTTTGATAGAAATCACACAACACACCCACATACAATTCACTATAAACGCTGCAAGGTAATGATACCAAAACATTGTCGAGTTCATATCATGCACTTGAATAAATGAGAAGATAATGTTGGCATCTTGTAAAATTCTCATCATTACATTTACTGAATATAACAAAATCTAATATGTTAAATCCAAAAACAAACCTTCAGAACGAAACACCGATTCAAGATTCCTCATTTTCACCTTCCTGTTGGAAAGTTGGGATCTTTCTTCAACTTCTGCAATTCCTCTCTTCTGCCCAGCCATGACCTGGATTAATCAGATCAAGAACATGAATCAAGTCAAAACTACTTCAAATCAATGATTAAAGTAGAACTAAAATCCGAACTGCCTATTCAGATCTAAATACCATTGGAGAAGTGTCAGCAAATTTCATATTCTTCATTCATCAAACTCCCAAGCACACAACTCGACTTAAAGATTTCAGCTTTGACTCTTCTTGCAAAAACCCAAGATTTGACTGGGAAAAGGGCGGTGGTTGATGTGAAATCCGTGAAATTCGAAATTCAAGTTTGAATTTATTTAGGTTTAGTAATCTTGAGAGCGAAAGTACTTTGCGTTGGTGAGGAGGCGGAAGCGGTGCAGAATGTGATTCGGATTTGAATTTGTAGAAGGAGCGCGCTGAATCCTATGCGGATAAATACATGGGTATATAATTGGGGTTTTAAAAGTGTTAATTTGTATTTTTTGGAGCGTAAATTCTTTCCTTTTCAAATTCAAATGGACTTATAGTTGGAGAAGACAAAGTTTGGCTATGCATTGGCAAAATGTTGGGGATACAAAATGAATTTATAGATCTAAAACGATTATCTTCATTACATTACTATTAATTAATAGAGAATCGGAAAATTTGATAATTCTCAATCTGAAATCTAGAATTTCATAAATTTTAATTTATATTTTTGATCATTATTTTTCATACTACATGTTGGGTTAATGGCTCAATGAGGGCTGACCCATCAACCCTTAAAATCACCTACGAGCGTCCTACTAAAGGTCCAAGAAGAAGGGCAAGGCTCGAGACTCAAGGGTCAGGGGACGTACATATTCCATCACCAGCCAGTACCAAGGCTCAAGGGTCAGGGGACGTACGTACCCCATCACCAGCCAGTACCAAGGCCCAAGGGCAAGGAGACGTACGTGTTGCACTGCCAGGAGGCACCCAGGCCAGGGTCCCTACGAGGTACTTGGGGACGGACGTCCCCACTTCTTAGTAGGGACCAAGGGCGGCTCAAGAATAAGTCAAGGATAGTAACCTCTCAATAGATCAAGTACATGGAGACGAACGTCCCCTCTCCCATTGATAGGGAATCGAGATCCCATCAGGAGACAGCGACCAAGCCTTTGGGGACGAACGTCCCCACCCAATGGCGGGAAACCAAGATTCTGGCGGGAAGCGCATTTAATGTAGAAGATTTGGTGGTTGGGATCGTGCCGCCCACAGCCTGCCACGTCGACATGTCCAACTACCCATTGGCGGTATGAATAGTAGCATTTATTTCATTGTAAAGGGTTCACACTTTAGCACTCTAGCACTTTATCAGTAATAACAGTTCGTAGCTTAACATAGTACGTTCGGCCCTTCGGCTTGTAACAGTTTGAGTTAGTAAACACAGTTGTTTGACATATTTCTTGCTCATTTGTCCATCTTACTTATTCACCACCCGTTCGAAACCCCTAGGTTACGTGTTGGGCCTGCGGGTTGAGGGAATAAACCTCAACACTGGCGCCGTCTGCGGGAAACTTGATCAAAAAGTTCTTCTAAAACCAAGCTCTACACTAAAACCTATCCCCAAAAAACAACTAAAAAATAAGTAGGATGGCAGCTAATAACGCAGGAAACTCTCGAGACCTCTCTTCACGACTGACCCATAGCAGGAGGAGCTGTAACCAGGCCACAGGGGCCCAGTCAAGCAGTCTCTGGTCTCGTGGGGACTTCGGGGTGCTCACTGACTTGATTCCCCAGGAAGTTCGACGGGACCCGAATGCCCTGAGAGAGATATCAGACACCATCCGCCGTCTGGCGGATCAACGGGAGGCGGAGCGAGTGCATTCCGCAAACACAGAGCGGGCACCATTCTCCCCTCTCCGTTCCATGCAGACGCTTAATGAGCACACTGGCGAGAACACTTGTTCGCGTCGTTCGGTCCATACAAGGATCACTAGGGGTATCCATTCTCCGGATATGGGGGCACCGGAGGAGCCGGGGCCTTCAAGGAAACACAGCGCCATACGGTCCAGGACCGCACGCCAGTTATGCCCCGTAACGGGCGGGTAATCAGGGAACACACCCCTGTGATGGAGGGCATGAGACAGGAGGCCCGTGTCATCCATGGCCAACACAACTTCGGGATCACGCCAGGAGGAAATGCCTTGGCAATGGCGAACCATGCACCCGTTGTCCCCGATCCCCGGGATGCTATGCTCATGAAGATGCAGAGGCAGATTAATGAACTGAATCGACGGATGGAAGCTGGCCCGGCGCAGCCCAGGGTTGCCTTGTTTTCCCCGTTCTCTGCTAGAATAATGGCAGTGGAGATTCCAAGGGACGTCCAGCCCCCAGGGGCCCTGATCTACAACGGGGCTGGGGACCCCAAGGCTCATTTACTTTCCTTCCAGGGAACGCTCTCTATGCTGGGAGCCTCTGACGAGGCCATCTGTAGGTTGTTCTTCAGCACTCTCAAAGGACCAGCACAGGAGTGGTTTGGGCAGCTCAGGCCCGGATCCATTGATAGTTTTGAACAGCTGTCCCAACAATTCATGGCACAGTTCGCATCAAGCTCCACACCAAAGAAGCATTTCAGCTGGCTCATGAACGTCCGCCAAAACAAGGGGGGATTCCTATCCACCTTTCTCATCAGGTGGAAGGACGAAACCCTAAAAGTTGATGACCTTCCAGAATGTATTGGCATCACCCTCTTCACCAACGCACTGGCAACCGGGGACCTCTATCTGGATCTGAAGAGGAACCCCGAAAATAACTATGCTGAGGTACTTGCTCGGGCACAGAAGTTCGCCGCGATCGAGGAAGAAATTTCGCAGCGGGATGGGGTGGCAACCCCTGTAGCACGTAAGATATCGGACCGATTGGGTCCCGGGACGGTGGAATCTTCGGATCCCAAGAAGAAGAAGACGATCGACGGTTACGTCCCCTGGGCCACACAGGAACTCCCTGGGGACGGCCATCTTGTGGGCGTCAGCCACGCTCCCTTGGCTTACCCCATCAGCCAGATTTTTTAGGCTATCAAAGATAAAGGACTTCTCAAAGAACCGTTGCCCACCAAGGGGCAGACAATGGGCCGAGACATGGAGGCCTACTGCGAATATCATCGCAAACCGGGACACTGTACCGATGATTGCAAGAGTCTGAAGTACGCCATCCAGAAGCTCATCGAGAGGGGATACCTGGGGGAGTTCACTGCAGGAGGAGCGTCCCAGGGTCATTCACAACAGCACATGAGGCCCTACAGCTGACACCAGGACGATCGGCGAGAAGCTGGGGTCAAGGACGAGGACTTACCGGAAGCTTCATTAGGGCCGGTCGGCACCAAGAAGAAGATGGAGATCAAAATGATCTTTGGAGGGGCGGAAACCGGGGATACCCCGGCAGAGAGGAAGAAATTTGAAAGGGCCCTCCGAATAAATTCCATCTCCGCACCACCCGCCAAAAACCATAAGGTCAAACCCATTGTATTCGGACCGACGGATTTACCTCAATCACCGGGGCCCCATAGGGATGAATTTGTAATCAGCATGGATATCCGGGAGTGGATAATCCGGCGGGTCCTGGTCGATACCGGTAGCAGCGTCAATGTCCTATACTGGGACGTCTTCGAGAGAATGCATCTGAGCAGGGCCGATATGAGCCCCCTGCGGACACCCTTGGCTGGTTTCACCGGTCACAGCATTGACACCGAAGGAACAATTTTCCTTACGGTGGATATTGGGGATGGTGAGCACCATGCGACAATCCCCATGATGTTTGTGGTGGTGCAGCTGAAATGCGCCCATAATGCTATTCTGGGGTGACCCGGATTGGAAGACCTTGAGGCCATCTGCTCCGTGCGGCATTCCTGTATAAAAGTCCCCACGGAGACCGGGGTGGGAGTGGCCCGTATGGACCCAGACACAGCAAGGGCCTGCAACAAAGAGGCGGTGAAGAAGATGACAGAGAAGGATATGAGGGTCAATAGCATCGCTGAAACAGCCCGGCGGGAGGAGGCCATATCCCGGCCAAAGCCAGCAACCTTGCTAGAGGAGGTGGAGCTGGATGATCCCTCCGATCGGAAGGTATCTATTGGAACCGGCCTGGAGCCAGAGATCCGGGAGGGCGTGATTCTAGTCCTTCGAAGGTTCAAAATCTTGTTTGCCAGAGGACCGGAGGACATGCCGGGAATTGATCCCGAAATTATCTGTCACAAGTTGGCCGTTCGACCGGATGCCCGGCCAGTGCAGCAGAAGAAGAGGTACATGGCAGTTGAGAGGAGAGATTTCATCAAAGCAGAGGTCACTACCCTGCTTGGCATACGCCACATCCGGCCCGTTATGCAGGTGGAGTGGCTGTCCAACGTTGTCCTAGCACCCAAGGGGGCCACTTGGCGGATATGCGTCGACTATTCTGATCTCAACAAGGCTTGCCCAATGGATCCCTACCCAGTGCCAAGGATTGATCTTTTAGTGGATGAAACCGCATGTTGTGAGCTGCTCAGCTTCATGGAAGCCTTCAGGGGGTACCACCAAGTTTTCATGCACCCGGACGATGCTGAAAAAACTGCATTTGTCACATCGGAAGGGGTGTACTGCTATGTGGTCATGCCGTTCGGCTTGAGGAACGCAATGGCCACCTTCTAGAGGATGATCCAGATATTGTTAAAAGACGTCCTTGGCACAATCATGGAGGCGTATGTGGATGATATCCTGATCAAGAGCAAAAAGAAGGAGAACCACGTCTAGGTCATGGAGAGGATTTTCACTATCATGGAAGGAGCAAGCATGAGGTTGAACCCGAAGAAGTGTGCTTTCGCTGTCCGGGGGGGGGGGGGGGGATTCCTTGGCTACATGATGAGTGAGCGGGGAATTGAACCTAACCTGGAGAAGGTAAAAGCTATTATGGATATGGAAGCACCCAGGAATTTGAAGGACGTGCAAAGACTTACGGGGCGGCTGGCAGCTCTAAGCAGATTCATGTCAAAACTGGCAGATCGGGCAATTCCTTTCTTCCAGATCATGAAGAAGGACAGTCCATTCGAGTGGACCCCAGAGTTTCAGACAACATTCAAAGATTTGAAGACGTACCTCTCCTCACCGCTCGTCCTCACGAAAGTGGATCCTGGGGAGCAGTTGTACATGTACTTGGCAGTGGCCGACCTGGCAGTGAGCTCGGTTCTGCTGAAAGAAGAAGAGGGCATTCCACGGCCCATATATTTTTTGAGCAAGGCGCTGAACGACCTGGAGACCAGATACACTCTGATGGAGAAGATGATCCTGGCCTTGATTGCATCAATCAAACGCTTGGCATCGTACTTCCAGGCACACTCGGTGACAGTGTTCACTACTCAGCCCTTGGCTACCATCCTCAGGAATCCAATGGCGAGTGGGAGAATTACGAAGTGGTCCTTGATGATTGGGCAATACA